CAGGCCTGCATTATATCTAGGCTGCTTTGAGGCTTGGTTTTCCTAAGACTCCCTCACCCTGAGTTAAGACAGCAGATGTTTGACGTATGTCTTTGAAGTAACTTCTTACAGTCTGTGCTAAGCCATTCCAAGGACAGAATGTAACCAGATCAGTTACTCTTATCATTCCCTAGCATTTAAAACATCCTTTTCTATGTTATCTGTAAGAAATAATCACTTAAAGCAAACCTGAGCATAATGAATGAGGACCTCCCTTGATGTAATACTCCCAGAAAGCAATAAAAGCCTGTCCAGGCAAGGGTCAGGGTGCTCTCTTACTCCAAGAGTGGCCATGCTGTCCCTTTTCTCCACAGGACTTTTGCAGTCTGTGTGATTTTGCTCATTGTATCTATAACATTGCGGACACTGCTGCCTGGAGTCCACATTATCTGGTGCTCAACGTGGGGCCAAAGGCTTCGAGCCACATTGTGGACAACACACCAACTTGGCTGGAGTGCACATATCAACCCAGGTAAGGACAGGAAACACCGAGTGCTTTTCAATAAGGTCATAGGTTGTGTTGGATTTCAGAGAAAAAGGTATTTCTTACAAGGTCACCCTCTCTTGCAGCTGTTTTGCATCTGCACCCTCTTTAGTAAGCAGGAGTCTTGCTCTCTCCCAAGCATTCACCACACCCTGCAGGCATGGGTAGAGAAGTGAAAAACTAGTAGGGTGCTAGCCACTAGAAGACACCCATGAAAGGATAGGTTTGAACTTGGACCAGGAGAGAACACTAAGTTTCCCACCAGCCGCAAGCAAAAGTCCACGCAATGAGAGGCACACTGTAAAAACACTCACAAACCCATCCCCATGACACAACCCCCAAGTAGGTTAGGCTTGGGAGAGAGAGCACAGATTTTCCCTTTAATCAGCTTTAAAAACAACTAGTTACAGGATCATTTACAAGTGTCTCAGCAGATTCTTTCAGGCCACCTCTTGTGGTCCTTTTGATTTTGCCTTTTCCCTCACCCTGCCTGCATAAGGAAAAGCAGATAGTGAATGAGTGCTACAGTTTTGACCGGACTCCAAAGATTGCTTTCCAGAAGAAATTAGTGTTAGTCACAAGTTTTGTATGAGAACATTTGGCATTTGCCACAATCCAAACACAAAAGGCACTTCCTCCCCTCGGCTCAAGAAATTGGGTGTTCCCATATGAATTGAAACCTTGCGAGGGTGTCTGGGATCAATTCCCAAGATATACAGAGGCCTTATAGGGACCTCCAAAATGACTTAATATAACTTCTGGCTCGTCTTGGAAAGCACAATATAAGGTTGGTCACTCAGCACTTTGAGCCCATCCTCGCAGTTTTAGACAGTTGGGGGAGAAAGCAAGACCCATAAGCAGGGTTAGGGTACCCGGAATATTCAGCAGCCCTCCATGACTGTCTTCCACCAACAGCACATTTTTGAGCCACCACACTATATCCCCCAAATAGCTAGCTAGCTAGGGTTCAGCACAGGCAGCAGAGTCAGAAAAGATGGAAATTGAAAGTAAAAAGGGCCCTCTTATTAACATGAAGTGGCTCGTGTTTATCCAAAATGCAGGAAGTCTACCTGCATGTGTTACAGCTGCTCCTCCAGGGAGCAGGATGTAAGGTAAAGGAACAGTATCTCATTCAGCTTTTACAAACTATAAAAGAGTACTACACTGCTTTTCCTGGCAAGGGGACCTTAGATACTGAGGTTTGGGAAGGGCCAGGTGACAAGCTAAAATTTTTACAGGACAGTGGTGCTTCTATCAGAGTTCAAAACTTACTCACTTAGGAACTAGTCAGGACTGCTCTCATGCCCATATGGGATAAAAAACTGGAGCTAGTCATAGAAACGGATTCTAGTTCAAAGGAAGAAGTCATATATGATGTAGCAGGAGAACTGGCCACCAAAGTTCTGTCTGCAGCCCTACCTCAGGACCTGCCTTGTAGCTGCTGCTCCTTATCTCAACTTGGAGTGTTCCTCCTTGTAAGTTGGGTCACCACCAAGAAAGCCAGAAAATTCAGACAGATATCCTATCAGGGCTATGTGACAGTGCCTTTGTCAGGAACTGGAGGCTGGGGATTTAGATGCCCATTCTGACCAGTGTAAATTTGTATCTTGTTGTGGTTTTAATTTGCTTCTCTCTGATGGCTAGGGATGCTGACTATCCTTTCATATGTCTCTGGGCCCTCTATATGTTCTCCTTGGAGAAATGTCTGTTCAAGGCTTTTGCCTAGTTTTAATTGGGTTGTTTGTCTTCCTGGAGTGGAGTCATGTGAGTTCTATACATGTTTTGAAGATCCAGACCTTGTCTGAGGTATCATTGGCAAACATGTTTTCCCATACAGTTGGTTCCCTTTTCATTTTGCTGACATTTTCTTTAGCCATGCAGAAGCTTTTTATTTTGATGAAGTCTCATTTGTTTATTCTTTCCTTTATGTCTCTTGCTCTAGGGGACATATTGGTGAAAATATTTCTGTGTAGAATATCTGAGATTTTCCTGCCTATGTTTTGCTCTAGGACTCTTATGATGTCATGACTTATATTTAAGTCTTTTATATACCTAGTATTTTATTTTTGTGTATGGTTTAAGTTGGTGGTTGAGTTTCATTTGTGTGTGTGTGTGTGTGTGTGTAGCTGTCCAGATATCCCAACACCATTTGTTGAAGAGGTTATTTTTACTTCATTTTATGCTTCTGCTCTCTTCATCAAATATTAATTGACCATACAGAGTTGGGTTTATTTCTGGGCTCTCTATTCTGTTCCATTGGTCTATGTGTCTTTTCTTATGCCAGTACCAGTCTGATTTGATTACAGTGGCTTGTAATACACTTTGATATCAGGCATTGTGATCTCTCCTACTTTGTTCTCCTTTCTCAAAATTGCTGTAGCTATTCAGGGTCATTTATGGTTCCATATAAATTTCTGAAATGTTTGTTCTATATCCGTCAAATATGTCATTGGTACTTTAATAGGGATTGTGTTGAACCTATAAATGGCTTTGGGTAGTATGGACATTTTGATGATGTTAAATCTTTTGATCCATGAACATGGTATATGCTTACATCTATGTCCTACTTAATTTATCTCTTCAGTTTTGTGTAGTGTTCTGAGTACAGGTCTTTACCACCTGGGTTAGGTTTATTCTTAGGTACTTTATTTTTCTTGTTGCTATACAAATGGGATTTTTTTCCTGATTTGTATTTCTGATATTTCATTGTTGATATACAAAAATGCCTTTGGTTTCTGAATATTGATTTGTATCCTGTTGTTTTGTCAAACTCACTTATTAGGTCCAATAGTTTTTTGGTGGAGTCTATAGGATTTTCTATGTACACTGTTATGTCATCTGCAAATAATGACAGTTTTGCTTCTTTTCCAATTTGGATGCCTTTTATTTCTTTTTCTTATCTTATCTATTTGGCTAGGACTTCCAATACTATGTTGAACAGGAGTGGTGAAGGTGGACAGCCTTGTCTTGCTCCTGATCTTAGTGGGAAAGCTTTTAGTTTTTTCCCATTGAGTATGATGTTGGTTGTAGGTATCTTATATATGGTGTTTATTATGTTGAGAATAGCTCCCTACATTCCCACTTTACTGAGTGTTTTTTTATCATAAATAGGTACTGTACCTTATCAAATGTTTTTTCTGCATCTATTGATATGATCAAGTGATTTTTGTCTTTCCTTTTGTTTATGTGATGTATTATATCTATTGATTTGCAAATATTGTGCCATCCTACTTAAGTAGGATGAATCCTACTTCATCGTGGTCTATGATTTTTTAAATGTGCTTTTGGATGTGGTTTGACTATATTTTGTTGAGGATTTTATTGTCCATGTTCATCAGCAATATTGGCCTGAAGTTTCCTTTCTTTGTTGTGTCTTTATCTGTTTTGGGGGGATTAGGATGATGCTGCCTTCATCAAAAGAGTCTGGGAGTCTTCTGTATTTTTAGAATAGTCTGTGAAGGATAGGGGTTAGCTCTTCCTTAAATGCTTTGTAGAATTCTCTTGGGGCAGAGTCCGGTCCAGGGCTGTTTTGTGTCGTGAGTTTTTTTATTACTGCTTCAATTTCATCTGCTGTTATTGGTCTGTTCAGACTTTCTGCTCCTTCTTCATTGACTTTTGGAAGATTATATTTTTCTAGAAATTTTTCCATTTCCCCTAGGCTTTCAAATTCCTTGGCATATAGTTCTTCATAGTAATTTCTTACAATCCTTTGTATTTCTGTGGTTTCAGTTGTAATTGCTCCTTTGTCATTTCTGATTGTGTTTATTTGAGTCTTCTCTCTTTTTTTCTTGATGAATCTACTTAAAGGCTTGTTAATATTGTTTATCTTTTCAAAGAATCAGTTCCTGGATTTATTTATCCTTAGAATTGTGCTTTAAGTCTGCATGTCATTTAATTCTGCTCTGATCTTGGTTATTTCCTTCCTTCTACTTGCTATGGGCTGTTTTTGTTATTGTTCTTCAAGTTCTTGTGGATGTAGGGTTATGTTATTTATTTGAAATGTTAAATACAAAAAATAGATCGGTGTTGCCAGTAGGGGTTGAGGGTAGGCAAAATGGGTGAAGAAAGTCAAAAGGTACAAACTTCCAGTTATAAAGTATATAAATCCAAGGAATATAATGTACAGGATGGTCATTATAGTTAATAATACTATGTTGCATATTTGATGGTTGATCAGATAGTAACATCTTACAAGTTTTCATCATAAGAAAAAATTATGTAGCTAGTTATCATGACAGATGTTAAATGAACATATTGTGCTAATAATTTTGTAAAATATACAAATGTCAAACTATTATATTGTATTATATATTAGTTACAGTATATCTGAAACTAATTTATATATATTCAACATGTCCATTATATTGTATTATACATTGGTTTCAGTACATCTGAAACCAATATATGTTGATTATATCATTATTACATAACAAATGAATATATATAAAACATTATTTTATATCTGACAAGTCTGTATTCAAACAGCTACCTTGAAAATAAAATTTCAACATTTGAATGTCTAAAAATATCAGTCACAAAGTCAATACATATTTATTTGTTTCATTTACATTCAAGATAATAATGAATTTCTATACTCAGAAGACAAAGGAAAAATCCAAGCAAAAGAGGTATATAGAAGTTTGTTAAAAATATATAAAAATAAGGGAGATATTAATATACAATATTAAATTCTAACAGCACATATTATCATCTTTGAGTATTTCCTTACCTCTGAATGTTCTTGAACTTTATCATTTGTCCTTTGTCCACTTGAATCTGCAACTTGTGCTTTTCTTGTTTCTTTCTCCAATGGTATGGATTGTGAGACTTCACTTACTTCTGTTTTACTTATTCTCTTTTCCATGATGGTCTCCTTGATGGTCTTGGTCTTCCCATCACTTTTAAGTAACTCCCTTTGATTTAGGAAATACTTTAGTTGATGCTTAGTTTTTTCAGTTTCCTGTTTTTTAAAAAGTAACCATTTATGAAGTATTATTTTTGTGACATTTTCCTGCCACTATTACAACTCTTAGAAATCTGCATATATTCATACCCATGTTACGCTGGAGGAGCTCAGTTAAACCACTAGTGTAATAGATGGTTTAATAGATCCTCAAAATTAAAAACTGTGAAAATCTTCTTCCACTCTGAAGACAATTTTTATACCCAGGAGTTTAATCATTATTACACAGGCACAATAAAAGTTAATTAAAGGTATACATATACAGAGTGATGAATTGAAATGATGATAATTAACATTTATATCAAAAAAGAAATTGTTCAAACTAAATGTTTCCTAGAATAAGATTTTTTAAAAATAAGATTTTTCTTTAAAATATTATTTTATATGAAAGAATAATTAACAAAATACAGTTTACAAATAATATTACAACAGAAAACTGATTTTTAACATTTGAATCTATATCATTTTTAATAATTTCTGAATATAACTAGCACATATAGGTATTTTTAAAATATTTATACTGGATCATAGTATACATACTCACATAATATGACCTTTTCATTATATACTGTCATAGATATGTTTCCATGACAATAAATAAACATATAAGTAAGAATACCTAAGATAATTTATTTAATAATACACTTTTATTTAGGAAATCTTTTATCAATGGACAGATTGGAGTTGGGTATCTATAATAGTGTCAACAACAAATAATTAAAAGTAGAATATATTGCTATTAAAATTTTTATATATATATATAAATATAGTATATATATACTATACATATATATATACTATACATATATACTATACATATATACATATATATATAGTGTGTATATATATATATATAGTTGTGTAAAAATCTGTACACATTTTCTCCTTAACAATAAATTTTTAGAAGTGGAATTGTTCAATAAAAAAAGATATGTCTTTAAAAGACTTTTGCTATATTTTTTTCAGGAAAAAAATCAATTCACACTACTAATAAAAATATGTGAATGATTTCTCTTTTCTACATATAGTCACAAATATTAGATATTTCTTCTTATTAAGTTTTTACCAAAAGAGTTGTTTTAAAAATGTATCCCATTCTTTTATTTTATTAAATTTATTGGGGTGACATTATTTAAGAAGATTATATAGGTTTCAAGTGTACATATCTATGATATATACTACCTGTATATTGCTTTGGTTATCCAACTCCCTAAGTCAAATAATCTTCTATCATCATATACTTTGTAACTTTTAACTGTATTTATTGAAAAGAGTGAGGCTGAATATGCTAGTGTTCATTTATTGGGCATGCATGTTTCTAAATTATGACTTCCTTATTTGTGTCCTTTATTTAGAAAGAGAGCTATCCATATTTCTTTTGAATTTGTAAAATAACTTCATGTAAAATACTTTGTAAAATTTTTCATTTTTATCTTTATATATCATTTTTATCATTAAAATTCTTTACATATATTACATATATGTGCTTATATATAATATAAATATAATATTTTACACATATTTAAAATTAAAAACTATGAAAATAGTGTCAAATTACATATATATGTGAAATCTTTCACATATTTTTATTAGGAGTATGAATTTTTTTAGGAAAAAATATAGCAAAAATCTTTTAAAGACATATCCTTTTCATGGAACAATTCCACTTCTAAAAATTTATTGTTAAGAAAATGTGTACAGATTTTTACACAACTATATATATAAATTTTAATAGTAAGTTATATATAATTATATTATATTATATATAATTATATCTATATAATTTGACACTATTACACATGTTCCCCATTTTTCCCCCTTTGTCCACCTCCACTGATCCCTTGCCCTTCTCCTCCCCTGGCCTTCACCACACTATTATCTATGTCCATGGGATATGCACACATGCTCTTTGACTAATGTCTTCACCGTCTTTTATCTAATGCCTCCCCACCCACCTCCACTTTGAAACCTGTCACTGTTCCATATATCTATGTCTCTGGTTCGATTTTGTTCATCAAGTTATTCTTTTCATTAGATTCCACATATAAGTAAGGTAATATGGTATTTGTCTTTCTCCGACTGCCTTATTTCGCTTAGTGTAATAATTTCCGGGCCCATTCACGTTGTCAGAAAGGGTAAGAGTTCCTTCGTTTTTATAGCTGCATAGTATCCCATTGTGTGAATGTACCATGGCATTTTTATCCACTCATCTACTAATAGGCATTTGGGCTGTTCTCAGATCTTGGCTATTTTAAATAATGCTGCTATGAACATAGGGGTGCATGTATTTTTTCTTATTGGTGTTTTGTGATTCCCAGGACAGGGATTGCTGGTTGAAAAGGCAATTCTATTTTTAATTTTTTTAAATGAAAGCTCCATACTGTTTTCCAAAGTGGCTGTACCAGTCTGCATTCCCATCTAAAGTGCATGAAGATTCCCTTTTCTACACATCCTCGGCAGCACTTGCTGTTTGTTGATTTGATGGTAGCCATTCTGAGTGCAGTGAGGTGTTACATCATTGCAGTTTTTAATTCTTTTTTCTTTTAAAAAATATTGATTAGGCTATCAGTTTTCCCCCTTTATCCCTCCTCTGCCCTGCACCCCCCAAACCCCCAGAATTCCCCCTCCTTAGTTCATGTCCATAGATTGTACATATAAGTTCTTTGAATTCTCTGTTTCCTATACCATTTTTAACCTCTCCCTGTCTGTTTTATGCCTAATTATGCTTCTTATTCCTTGTACTTTTCCTCCCCTCCCCCTCCCCACTGAAAACCTTCTATGTGATGTCAATTTCTCTGATTCTACTCCTGTTCCAGTTGTTTGCTTAGTTTTTGTTTTCATGGTTTTTCTTTTTCTTAGGTTTCAGTTGTTGATAGTTGTGAATTTGTTGTCATTTAACTGTTATAGCTTTTGTTCTTCTATGTCTTAGATAACTCCCTTTAACATTTCATAAAAGGCCTGGGTGATGATGAAGTCCTTTAACTTGACTTTATCTGGGAAGCACTTTATATGCCCTTCCATTCTAAATGATAGTTTTGCTGGATAGAGTAATCTTGGCTGTAGGTCCTTGCCTTTCATGATTTTGAATACTTCTTTCCAGCCCCCTATTGCCTGTTAGCTTCCTTTTGAGCAATCAGCTGATAGTGTTATGGAAACTCCTTTATAGGTAACTGTTTCCTTTTCTCTTGCTGCTTTTAAGATTCTCTCCTTATCTTTAATCTTGGGTAACTTAATGATGATGTACCTTGGTGTGTTCCTCTTTGGGTCCAACTTCTTTGGAATTCTCTGGGCTTCCTGGAAGTCTGTTTGCTTCACCAGATTGGGGAAGTTTTCCTTCATTATTTGTTCAAATATGTTTTCAATTTCTTGCTGTTGTTCTTCTCCTTTTGGCACCCCTACAATTTGGATATTGGAATATTTCAGTTTGTCCCAGAGATTTGTAAGATTCTCTTCACTATTTTTTTGAATTCTTGTTTCTTCATTCTGTTCTGGTTGGATGTTTATTTCTTCCTTGTTTTCCAAATCATTGATTTCAGTCCTGGTTTCCTTCCTGTCACTGTTGGTTCCCTGAATATTTTACTTTATTTCCCTTTGGTTATCTTTCATTTGTTCTTTCATTTTCTGATCAAGCTCAATCAGTTCTGTGAGCATTTTGATTACCAGTGCTTTTTTAAAAAAAATTACTTTAATCATTGTTCAAGCACAGTTTTCTTTCCTTTACACCCATCCCAGCCCACCCACCCATCCGTCCCCACCTTCCTCCCATTTCCACCCTCCCTAGTTTTTGTCCATGTGTCCTTTATATTTGTTCCTGTAAACCCTTCCTATTCTCCCCTGAAATTCCCCTGAAATTCCCTCCCCTCTTCCCTCTGGTAACTGTCAGCCTGTTCTCTATTTCAGTGTCTTTGGTTATATTTTGCTTGCTTCTTCATTTTGTTTATCAGGTTCCACTTAAAGGTGAGATCACATGGTATTTTTCTTTCACTGCCTGGCATTATTTCACTTAGCATGATGCTTTCCAGCTCCATCCATGCTGTTGCAAAGGGTAGGAGCCCCTTCTTTCTTTCTGCTGCATAGAATTCCATTATGTAAATGTACCACAGTTTTTTGATCCATTCATTTACTGATGGGCACCTAGGTTTCTTGCTTACCAGTGTTTTGAACTCTCCATCAGATAGGTTGGCTGTCTCCTCATTGCTTAGCTCTTTTTCTAGAGTTTTGCTGTGTTCTTTCATTTGGGCCATATTTGTTTGTCTTGGCACACCTGTTAAGTTGTAAAGGGGCAAGGCCTTAGGTATTCACCAAAGCAGGGTAACTCTCTTTGTTGCATTGTGGTGCTGTCTTTGGGGGAGGGGTCAGAGAGGGAACAATGCAGCTCACTTGTTTGCTCTAGCCCCACTTTCCAAGGAACTCTCGTGTGAGACTGGGAGTTTCTCTCACCATGGCAACCCACACTATGGTCCGCAGTCAGCTGTCAGTTTCCAGTTCAGCCAGCCTCACCCACCTGGTCTGCTTTCTTAATGTGGGTTCTCTCTGCCAGCCCCTTCCTCACTGCACTGTCTGGTCAGCTGCCTCACTGCAGGTTCTCTCAGCTCAGCGGACCTCACAGCATGGTTTGGTCTGCCATCTCACTGTGAGTCCTTTCAGCCAGCCCCACCCATGCAGTTCACAGCCTTGCCACAGGTTCTCTCCATCCACCCATCTGCTCCATCTTCCTCATCTCCCTCCTACTGGTCTGGTTGGTCTGGTTGACTGTTTCTTTAATTCCTTGGCTGTCAGAGTTCCATGCAGTTTGATTTTCTGGACTTCTGGTTGTTGATTTCTTAAAAAAAATTATTTTAATCATTGTTCAAGTACAGTTTTCTCCCATTCCAGCTCACCCACCCATGCCTCCCTACTTCCCTCCCATTACCCCCCACACCTAGTTTTTGTCCATGTGTCCTTTAAATTTGTTCCTGTAAACCCTACCCATTCTCCCCTGAAATTCCCTCTTCTCT